CATGAAAAGCCTAACAATAGTAACAATTAATAATGATGAACAGGTGGATAGGACTTCATGTTCAAAGAATTTTTCATAGGCCCATTTTACTTCTTAGAACATCTTTTTGAAGGAGTTATCATTAGTTATAATTCTAAGCCCTTCTTATTTGAGTAATGCCAGCATTTACCCTATAGATATAAAGAAATATAAGCAATGTTATCACTCGAATTCACATCCAAGGAGCCAGGTGATCAGAGATTTGAATAACTTGCACAAAGATACACAGGTTATACATGGTAAAACTAAAACCAATATCTATTTAAAGACTTTCTGTAATACTTGTGGTTTTTCTTTTTTATGCCGCTATTTCATTTTAAGATAGAATCCCCTAATAAATAAATATATATACACACACAATTAAGTTTAGTTAAAAGAACAGGTGGAAAATTCATATGGCGGCACAATAAATAATATAACCAGAGTGCCAAGCATGGTGGCACATGCCTGCAATCCTAGCTATGGAGGAGGCTGAGGCAGGAGGATCACAAGTTCAAGGCCAACTTGGGCAATGTAGTGAGACCATGCCTCAAAATAAAGCAATTCTTACAAGGGCTGGGGAGGTAGCTCAGTGAAGAGCACCCTTAAGTTCAATCCCTAATACTGGGAGAATATTTATTTATTTATCTGGAGAGTATTTCAAATAATGATTTTTCCAGACATCTTGTCATCCTCTGCACTAGTTAACCCATCTTCACTAAAGTTCTAAGTAGGGATCACTACAAATCAAAGTGAAACACTAAGACAAGTGAAAATTTCAGCCTATTTTTAAAAAAACTCGATACTATAGTTTCCAATGATACCAAACAACCTAAGAGCTGAGGACACTTAACAGCACTTTGGATTGACCTGTAGACACTGTAAAAAAAAAAAAAAAAAAGCTTTCTTAATCTTATTCAGAGCATTCAGTCATCTGTAAAATCACAGACTTCCACTGCTGGAAGAGATAGTAGCAATCTATATATTCAACACCTTTAAAATGAGGTACAAAGGATTATGAAATTTGCTTAGGGTTAAATACATACAGAGTGGCAAAGTTAGGAGCAGAAGCCAAGTGCAAGTAACAGTGCTGTTTCTGGAAGGAACACAGAAACCATTTTTTTTCCCAATTTTTGTGCATAAAGGCAGACGGGGGGAGGGGGCGCTTACCTCCAGCGCTTCAAAAGGGACAAAGCTGGTCCTGGCAAACCCATCGATGATGTCCTCTTTGTCCAAGGTGGACTCGCTCCGCTTCCTCCGCGGGGGTCTGGGCAGGACCGGGGCTTCCCATTGTCTTCCTTGTCGGAGCCGGACGACGAAGCGAGCGAGGGCGCCCGAGTCCAGCCGGCCCCGCCGCCCGCCGAGCCGACCCCCAGACCGACCCGGGAGCGCATCTCCCGGTCTCGCTGCGACCTTGACCGCAGCTTTTTGCGGAGTCCAAGGCCCCGATCCGGTCCATCCATGGCTCTGCCACGCCGGGGTCCCCGCGCTCGCCGCCCGCGCGGCACAGGCTCCGGCCGCGGTTGGTCGGTCGCACAAAAAAATTGACACGGAGCCCTCCCTCCCGGGCACGGCGTCCCTCCGCCCCGCGCAGACGCTCGCCGCCCGCAGCCGCCGGCGAGCCCGCAAAGGTCGCAGCAAAGTGGGGGCACGGAACTTCGCCCGTCCTGGCGCGGGACAACGCCCGCGCCGCTTCTCACGCAGGAAACTCACCGCCGGGCCGCAAGAGGTCCAAGCCGCGCAGCCAGTGGCGGCCAGGACCGGACCGCAGCCAACAGGATCACGTGGGCAGCTGGGGACCAGCAGCGCTCCGGAGCCCAGGGCATGCGCGCTGGGGCGGCCGCGCCTGCGCACTGGGGATAGCGGGACGCCGCTCGCGGGGGCTACCCTCCGGCGCCCCCGTTGGGCGTCCCCGACCCTCCGCGCGCACCGTGCGTCCTCCCGGGACACTTGCTCCTCGACCCGGCCGAGGAGCCCCAAGGCGTTTCCCCCGGGCGACCCTTGGGGTCGGAGGAGGAGGCTCCGGGCGGGGACGCCGCGGGGCGCTCGGGGCCTGGGCGTGACCAGTCGCCGCAGAGGGAGCGGGCGTCAGGTCGCGCGAGGCCCCGCAGCTTCCTGCAAACTTTTCCCCACGTGGCGCCACCGCGCGAGGCCGAGCCTCCCCGCGCCTGGCGGCCGCGAACTTGACCCATGGGAGCCGTCGCCGCCACGGGCTTTCGCTGCGTCCCTGCGCCGGGAAGCAGCTGGTGCTTGTGGAGAGTTGTCCTGAGGAGCCGAGGGAGGCAGGGCCACCGCCCGTCCATGGGGTCGGGATCCCGCGGGCCGTCACCAGCCTCTTGGCACCTCACTGTCCGTGCGACCAGAACCCCACAGCCTGTCACCCTATCGTCCTGGACAGCCCACTCGGGGAGGAAGGGAAGGGAAGTGACCGGGTCTCCAGGCTCTGTGTGGGACCCTTCTTAATTTAGAATTCGGGCTCACACATTCATTAGTTCTATGGGAAAGAGGTGGAAGGAAACAGCGGAGGACCGAGTTTTCTCGGATACACCCCGGACTGACTGGCTGCTTTTCTTTTTCCTTTATCCCCCACGCTGCCCCTCCTTTCCCATTTCAGTTTTACTCACCATAACACACTTTGATTTGTAAACATATCACATGCCTGAGAGAGAGCTAATGCAAATAGCATGCTACGTTTCTTCAGAGAATTTATTTACAATAGCTTCATAGATAAAGAAATTTGGAAATTTAATGATCACAAAGTTAACACTAATACTTACATTTAAATTAAGAGCTAAGAACGTTTGTGTTTATTATAAACTGAACATTTAATGGCACATAGAAAATGTAATATTCGATTAAAACCTAAGTTGTCCTGGTTGGACATATTTATTTCGAAGTCCAACACTGAATGGCTGTTCACTTTTCTCTATTGCCGATTTGTCTGCTTCAGTAGGTTCTGGATCTGGAATTTCAAATCTAAGAAGAAAACCAAAAGGAAAGGAATTTGTTGATACATAAATAAAAAAAAATTAAATACAACAGAGAAAACTAATCAACTGAAGATTCCAGTTTCCTATCATTTTATAGAACATACAAATTCTATAAAACCTTTTCTACAGTACTGCATACATAGAACTACAAAAAAGTTGCCTTCAGCTATATGATCCTTAATTAAGAGAAGCAAGGGCTGCCATCCAATTATTTTTCTCTTCTTCAGACTTAGCAGCAAATATGATACTGTTGTCATTTGGGGGTACTAGTGCAAAGGCATGTCTGCCCCACAAGTATCTTCCTTATCACAGATTTCTACTCTCCACATAAAAGAAAACTTTTCTTTTAATCTTTAGTCTGCACTACTGTAACCTGGAAGCTGGTCTGGCCATGATTAAGTTTACTTCTGATCATTAAGCCATCAAAGAAAAAATATGTCTTTCTTCTTAGCACCAATTCTTGTCATTTGTCCTTCCATTATGAATTCATTGCAGCACTGTGCAATATCTTTGCTTATCCATCCATCTATTTTTCCCAATTTCTGTCATTTTTCTGTTGGTCCAGTTCTTTCTAATTAATTGATGATTATAAAAAGGGCAAACTGGATCCCTAATTTTTTTTAAAAAAAGATAAGAATTTAAGTTTAGTCAATAATTGCACAATCCCAATTCCTAATTGCCTCAAGGGCAAACTTTCAAATCAAGTTGCAAAAATATTGCATTGGGCTAATGGTGTTATTCAGTGGTACAGAACAAGTTATCAGTATAAATAAAACCATGGGTATAATCCACAGAATTTTAAAAGAAAAAAATAAATAACAAAATACTAAATTTTATAAACAAAATTTATGTTCTTTTAACTTTGTCACTAATACATATATGCCCTGTTTCATTGCTGTGAAAAAGAACTATTACAGACTCTATATTTCAAAATTCCTATTACCCTAAGTAGTAAAATTACAAAGAAACTTAAACTCTTGTATTGATTATAAAAATAATTAAACACATTTTAGGTGTCTTATCTGTGAAAGAGCTAATAAAAAGTAAAACAAACAGAAAATTGAAAGAAAAGCACAACTTTTAAAATTGCAACTTTCATTATAATTTATATTTTTGAGAAAACCAAGCACCAAATACAATGAAGCATGAAGAAATATTCATTGTTTCATCAGTTTGGAATTAAGAAGATTGGTGTCTAGATGAATACAGTTTTTACATTATGTCCATTCTATGTTGAAGATTCATGAGAGAAGTAACAGCTTGGTTCAAATCTTACTCTGTCTTCTGGCTCCTCACCACATGCTTCCAATTGCTAAGAATATCCAATAAGATAAATTAAAACTGCATTGTTTAATTCTTGCCTCAATTTTTTGTTACTAGAGAAAGCATCATCAAGCATTTAAATCTTTAAATACAGTTTAAATACATTTAATAAAACAGTTATTTTACACTACTCTGTTTACTTTATTATCCCTTAAACCAAGCCTCTTTCTACAAATACAATATACATGTAAATTATTACTAGCAAAACAAACAGTAAAAAAACTGAATATCATTTAAACATCTTCTAGATTTACAAAAATAATTTAAAATATCTAAAACAAGAAAACTATGTTACTTTTATTTATTAGTAACTGTGACTGCATGAAACAGGATAAACTCCTACAAATGATTTCATATTCTTTTAAGGATAACATACTTGAGTTTCAGCAATTTCAAAAAATTTACATATCTTTGTTTTACAACAAAATAAAGTAGAAAACCTTTACCACTTCAAATCTTCAGAAACTTTTCTGCATACAGAGTCCATAAAGGATTCTCCTAAAGTTTTTATAAGAAAAAATAAAACCAGTATAGTCAGTATCAAGAAACCATGAAAATAAATATTCTGTTATAATCCTGAGAAATCATAGTTAAAAATCAGTTTGTTAGTCTGCAAATCTCCGGTTTCATTTCATTTTCCAAAACTTCTCTTGTATCTCCCTCTCAGAAAGAAAGAAAGTTTATTTTTTCTAAATAAATTACATTGGACTATGCTTCTGTATTTCAGCTCTTTTGACAGAAAAATTCAAAGTGGAATAATGCATAGATATCATATAAAATTATATAAAGTTATGTTTATGCAAGAACAAATGTAACAAATTATTATCACTTCTTTCAGAAAAAAAATAAAACTTAAATCTATTTAATGATTTTAGTGTCTAGAAAATGTATGCAAAGTTTATATTTTCCCCATATTTCAATCAATATCTCAAAAGCATCCAGGGATATTTTTTTTTTCTCAGTAAGGAAATGGTGAAATATTATTTGAGAACTTGGTCCATTAACTTTAATTCATCTCCTAATAATTATTCTATGTATGAAACACAGAGGCACTTACCTGGAGAAGTTTTGCTATTAAGAGATTAGCAATAAAAATATTTTAAGTGACTATCATTTGAAGTAATATCTTAATCTCTAGACTAAGAAATAAAACATTAAAGTATTAGGAAAAATAGGTGAAATCACCATATAAAGTTTCCAAAAATATAACACTTGCTTATTCTGTACTTTTAAAGGTGAAATTTACTAGCATAATCACTTATTTTGCTGCTTTAAAATTTCTGATGTTTCTTCTCAACTCCACTTTAAAATGTTCTTAATAAAGATGGATATTGATTTTAGAAATGGTTAAAGCATTTTATTCTGTTTTTGTTGACAGCAATTTCTAAATTGCCACTAATGTTCAACATAACTCTTATGCGTTAACTTATTTAATCTTTATTGGATTCTAGGGCTACAATGATACTAATTTTTTACTGTCTACTTAGCTTAAGCCCACCCAAACGGTTACATATGTCTTTTTTTAGAGAGAGAGAGAGAGAGAGAGAGAGAGAGAATATTTTTAATATTTATTTTTTAGTATTTGGCGGACACAACATCTTTGTTTGTATGTGGTACTGAGGATCGAACGCATGCCAGGCGAGCGCACTACTGCTTGAGCCACATCTCCAGCCCCAACATATGTCTTTTTAATAGAGTTCTGTAATAATTACAGGTTGTCAAGCAGGAAAAAAATTCAGATATTTAGAATTTGAGATTTTCTATATTTATTGGTATATAAATCATGATTCTGGCATAAACTTCATCCAATAATTTACAAAATATTTCTTAAATTTTCAGCTTAAGAATATCTAAGCTAGTTTCTGTATAGACATGTGAAGGCCTATATTCTAAATTTTCCACACTGACATGCAAATTATCATCCTGAACTACTTACAAATTAATCATACTCTTTCATGGGCTCCAGATCCTTTCTACATGTTGGCTTTGCTAAATACCCAATGAACTTAGCCTTTAGGATATTTAGAATGGCTCTTAATGAACTTGTCTTCCAAGTAAGCCTTTTCTCTCTTTATTTTTTTCTTTTGAAGTGACAGCACATTCACAGAAAAGTTGCATAAATAACACATACACTCCTATATATTTTGGTCAGTAATTTGTTTTAACATTTTGCCACAAGCTTCATCATTCTGTCTTCACCATTTTACTCCTTTTTAAGAGTAGTTTTTGATACTTTCCAGTTCCTTGGAGAAGAACAGGAAATATTTATGAATGCTTTTGAGATCATTTTTGGAATATATGAAAAAATCAAATGAATCACAAATTATCAAATATTATTCTTCCCATTGACTCCTTTAATATTTCAGTGGTACATTTTAGAATAAGTATTTTCTTTCTTTCTTTCTTCCTTCCTTTCTTTTTTCTTTCTTTTTATTTACAGAAGCTCAGTACAGTGATATATTTCAGGAAATTAGATGGTGATAAAGATCTATTACGTAGTCTACATTTCATATTCCAGTTCTGTCAGTATTCCCAGTAACATTTTTAGGATATTTTTCCCCAGTATAAGATCAAGTCAGAATTTTACTACATTCTCCCATTTCTATTTGCAATATAAATAGTTCTTCAGTATTTATCTTTCATGACTTATTCAAATAACTACGGTCAAACACACTTACTAGGTAAATCATTATTTACCCAACAAATTCACATGAATTTTTAATCTGATTGCTCTATGCAGATTTAGTGAGTTCTACCATGGTGGTCTCATAATATTACTTGTATTAACCACTTATATTATAATTCAGTGTTCTTCTTCATTAAAATGTAAACACCTTAAAATATAGTTTTTCTATTCATTTTTACTAGAGTTCCTACACATGGTAAGTACCCCCCAAAAAACTGGCAGAATTTACTAAAATGAATGACTTATTTTATAAACACTTAAAAATTAGATATTAAACCAAAGAAAGATGACTATTTTTGTATTT